ATTTTTCTGCGACGTCACTCGGTATACAATACCGTACCGTACCGAGAGAATATCGAAACTTCGGTACGGTACGATATTTCAATCCTTGCTTTGATCTATATGATTGTAGCAACAAGGATAGGATGATGTTGGCGTGACTCAAGTTGACTAGGCACGCACTTGCTTGGTGGAAAGCCTATCTTCGAACCAACAACGATGAAGATATGCTATGGACACGATTCAAAAAGCTCATATGACAAGAATTCTACCCTATGGGATATCTTGAAGAAAGATGAAGGAAATAACACTCCTTACGTTAAGGTCAAGACTAGTCTGTGGAAGAATACACCACCAAGTTTTGACGATTAGCGGTGGCATTTAGAATCTCCCTCGACGATCACTCGATGATGATGAAATACATCGTCAGAGTATACGATATTTCGGTCGCTAGCAACATGGCGAGAGTGATCAAGAGAAAGAATCACATCTACAACAAAAAGCCCATGAAGAAGGCCCAAGAGAATTTTGGAGATGGTAGAACTTCTTCCTCAAAACGAAGTGATCTATTTTGTGAACATTATAAAATTATAGGTCACTCCAAAGAAAAGTGTTTGGACAGTTCATCTGGAATTCTTTCCAACGAAGTAGTTGAAGAATGATCAAAGTCGACGAACCGCGGCCACACCATGGGCAATGACTCCATTGAACTTTCACTGGTCTTCCACTCAAATTCGAGTCTATCACTGATGGTTATGGTTTGAAGATTATAGACTTAAGTCCGACTCTCGATCCAAAGGTTCAAAAAGAGCTCTTCACCATAAAAATCCAAGTGAAGCAAGAAGTCGTTAGTGCAATTTTTGACACCGGGTGCTAAAAAAACCTCATCTCGGTGAGCTTGGTCAAGAAGCTTGCCCTAGAGACGCACTGCATCCGCACCTATATCCTCGTGGATGGCTTCATGATATGTGGAAATGAAGATTGACCAACAATGCAAGATACGCTTCGCCATCACAGAGGAATTCATCAACAATGTGACATGAGAGGTGGTTCCGCTTGGTGAGAGGAGGGAGGAAAGGGAGAACTCGCAGCAACCTGTATGGCTGCATTTGTTTGGTTATTTACATACCATTGAACATTAGATATAAGCATATCTTATTGTAGTTTGATTCAAGGTTTGTTGTATCGCCCAAGTCAGTATGGTACGGGCGATACATATCGATCTAACTCGCCATCGAGACATGACTCGCCCAAGTCCCCATCGACATGCTCCGATGTACCATGTGTCGATACACCGATACTGATTGGTATGCACCATACCGACAAAATAGGTCTTGCTTTAAAAAATGGCGACCCTGGTTTGATCCTATTTTTAAAATGGCGAAATGGCGACCCTGGTTTGATCCTATTTTTAAAAAATATATTCATTAACTATCATTTTAAGTGTCTTGCTTTAATACCACATGCGCTTCATCTCATGACTTGTGCCTAGACTCCACGAGACCGATGCACCTTAGTACATCTCAAGCATTTTTGTGCACAATATACATAGATATTTTTCATCAGTCAACGTACTTATGTAAGAAATCAAACTTCCGTAGGTTACATAAATTTGGTGCCATTACTAGCTTGTACTTTTCTTGTGAGCTATCAAATTTTATGAAATAAATTACTGCAAAAGATGTACATTACAACTTTTTTGTTGTATCTTAGTTTAGTGTATTTCATCCTAGGGCAACCTAGTCCAACGGTGACTCCCATTGGAGGAAAATTGAAATCTGTAATGTCAGGCCATATACAGACTGGAGACATGATTGAAATTTCATTTTGTCTACTGTGTCTCAAATGGTGTAACATTCAACTTTTAAAAAATAAAGTGTGTAGACACTTGGTTAAACACTGTTAGAATCAGATCTCATTTTTATTTGGTGGTAGCATGCTGCCAAATGTAGTTGAATGAGACATGAATTTGTGAACTTACATTAGGTAAGGAAACCTGGATTCATAGAAGAAAATGCCACTTTAGGTATAAATTGATTGTATAGAAATGAAAATATCAAATTGCTGATCTTTTGTATAGAAGGATCATTGAACAAATGTCTCATGAAAAAACTTTTGAAATCATTAATGAAAAGAAACTGCAACAACATCCTCTTTAAGCAGCCTATATAAATCGTGTGTCATTCATGAGTTTGTCTCTTTTATGTCACAGGATAGTACAATGCACTTGTTTTAAGTCAATTCATACATGAATGAAAGGGCTATTGCACTGATTACTAAAGCTTGACTTTGTTTCATCTAGAGATCGAGAGTAGCATTTCAAAGTCAGCTACCAAAACACAAAATATACTCAATAATTTAACTGAAGTCTAAAGCATTGTTGCCTTTCTAATAAATAACTAAACGAATCTTATTAACTTAACATCAATATCACACAATATCCTGTATTTAGGACTCAAAGATGAGAGCAAAAGCTAAAATGTAATGGAACTAAATGTTTCAAGGAGCTGGAATATATATTTATATGCAAGTGAGTGAAAATTCATTTTGTTTAACATGTCACGATTGCCGCACCTTACAGCCAAATCTGGATCACGAGTGTGAATAATCTTGCTCAATATATAATCTGGATCTACGATGTCTTTGATAGAGAATCCATAACCTAGACACATTTCAAGAGAACAAGGGAATTCAACAAGACAGCATCTAAAGAACAATAGATACAAAGCTGCATTAAACATTCTGTAAATTATCAAGTTGCAGAGATTATTCCACGCATGAGAAGAAATTTCACTCCAGCAAGTGCACTTTTAAATCAAGAAAGAAACGAACACTTCGCACCTGCGAGAGTTTCCATCAACTCAACACACTCCTCTAATTTTCCCTTGTCCGCGAGCCGCCGGCACTCCAATCCCAAAGCCTCCAATGCCGGCTCGTCAAAGAGCGAAGAGGGGCAGAACCCAAGCCTCGCCGCTTCGCTCAAGAAACCGGTAACCTCATCAAGATTCCCGTCGCGAAGGACGGCAGCGATACCTTGAGCGGTTAGCCTGGGATCGATGCGGGCCACGAACTGGGGGGAATCGGCGGCGACCGCGTCAGAGGTGAGGACGCTCTCAGCGATCATCAAGAAGTCCCGGAGCTTGCCGTTCTTGGCTAGGTTCGAGGCGAGGCGGGCGTAGTACTTGAGGAGGTTACGGGTGGAAGATGAGGAGGGAGCAACGGCGGCGGAGGGGTGACCGGTGTGGTGAGGGACGGCGGTGAGATCGCGTCGAACATCAGAGAGGAGGGGTTTGGCGGTCGAACGGCGAAGCTTGCGGCGGGGAGAATGCGGGGGATTTCCGTTGGGGGTGGCGGAGGTGGGGGAGAGGACACGGGAGGGGGAGGAGGAGGAGGAGGCGACGAGGAAGGCCATCCCCACCATGGGCTTCACTGTTGGCTCGATGTGTGGAGCGAGAAGAAGCCCACCCTATCATGTTTCTTGAATTGTTTGCGTACATGATATTTTCTTTCTTTAAGACATAAATTATATATATATATATATATATATATATATATATATATATATATATATCTTAGGCGAATTTTCATTATAAAAAATCGTTTATGAATTTTTCAGATAACGTTTGAATTTTTTTAAAAAAAAAATTATTTTTAAATACCATTCTCTTTGGTCATGCCTTCGCCTTGTGGATCATCCCCCTCCTTTGGATCCGCCCAATAACAAAGGCACAACAGACTCTACTGAATCAACGATGAAAGCAAGATCGTAAAGATTATGCTTCTATTATTAGGTCCAACAAAATACGACAAAGACCATTGTGTCTATGTCATTGAGTCTACCAGATCCAATGAAGGGACTTATGACAAACAGAAATGATAGTGGTAGGTCAAATAAAGACAATAGTAGAATGATCTTTTCACGTGATCAGGGATATTCCATAAAAATTTTTTAACGTGGAATATTTAATAAAATTTTTCAAATTTAATTTTTTTTTATAAAAAATCATTAATATATTTACCTATATATATTAGTGACGAAAAATGAAAGAGATAAATATATGTAGCATAGTCTTAATATTAGGGGAACATGTTAGTATATACATACATACATATGTTTTGTTATCCAAAGCAATTTATTTTGACTTTTTTAATGATAGAGTAAATTAATGAATCTTCCAACATGATGTAATTATGATTATGAATCCAACTTAGCAAAATTAATCCGAGTAGCCCTTATGTCTCTTAACCTTGTACTCGTGGATTTGAGTCTGGATCGACACGAATCATCACTAACGAGAATTTTAAGCTGCAAAGAATTAGTTGCTCTGCTTTAGACATCGTACAATTGTGCTTTTGGATGGAAGCGAAATGGGGTGAGTCACCCTCTGTCTCGTGAATGGACTTTATATCAATTATTATTATTATAAGAAATTATATATGGCCATGTAAAGTTCACGATGAATGTTGATGTCCCAGAAGAACAATAGTGAGGATAATTCTAGTAGGTGTATTATTGAATTAACACTAACATGGTAGTGTAGGAGATTAAGTATATTAAATTAAGATATACTATAGACATGGTAGAATGTTAGGGAGTTCAAATCAAATAAAATAATCGAATCGAATAAATTATCTTAGAAGGAGACAGTTATTCGATTTGATTAATCAGGTTAGATCGAATTGAATCGATTTTAATTTTAAAAAATATCAATTCAACCCAAAACTCCAACATCAATAATTTATTGCTCTTCTTTTTGTCTCATAAATTTTTTTTTGTCATTATTCTTTATTAATAATATCTTTTGTTTATTTATATGTATTACTATATATTTTCGTTATTATGAACAAAGGACTACACGTGAATTCGTTATTTCTTTATGTTATATTTTAATAAAAAGATAAAGAACAACTTGTGCATTAGTTTAATTGTCTATAATATTTAGAATGATATTTGTAATATAAATTTTCTTAGAATATAGATCAAATTTGATCAAAACTCTGATTTGATTCAATTAAACTAAATCGATTGATTAAATCCAATTGATTCATTTGAAATATATATATATATTTAATTATTTTAAAAAAAAAATAAAAAAAATTGATTAATTAAACCAAATTAATTTGCTTTGAACCAATTCAATCATATAGATCTGAACTGATTTCGATTTAAAATATATTATTTTAATCAAACTGAATCAAATCTTTTGTTCAATCTAATCCGACCTTAAACGTCCCTCCTCTAGTAGTTACATTATGTCCAATAAAATTGATTATGACTATTATGTTGAACATGGACAGGTAGAAATCTCTCATTACATTCTAAGAGATATAGTAACAATCATACTAATATATTTTTAAAAATTAAAAAAAATATATTAAATGACATTCAGATAAATATCCCTATAAAGTTTGGAAGAAAATGAATTTGCTCATGAAAATTTAGATATAGCATATATTTTCTAAAACAAAAAAAAAACAAGATCCAATTACTCAAGTCAACCATTACTTTGACTATAAATAATTAATTTAAATTAAAAAATATATTTAAAAAATCAAAACATAACTTTATCTTTAATATTAATCGGAGTCTCAATTATATTTTTCATTTTGGATATACGTGTACATTCTTGTTTTCTTTTTCTTAACTTAAAAATCAACAGTGGCAGGATCCGCTGTGTTCGCTATAACAAGAGCAACACTTTTCATAGTAGTTTGTGGGTTAGCTGTGTTGCCTGCCGTCCCACCTAACGCCTTTGTGAGGGACTCACCGACGCGACCCACTCGTCGAGCCAACGCTGCTCGCTCTTCGACAAAAAGCTACGACAGGCGCTTGGGTTGCTCCCCTTGACCATTTGGTGGCAGGATTCCCTGTCCGAGTCCACTAAGGTTCAGGGTTTCGTGCGCCTGATCTTCCCAGCGATGGGTTCCAGGAACGTGTCAGCCATCGGACCTTCTCATCCCGCACAGCAGATCCCGGCGCACAGCTAATATTCTCCGCACCTACAGGAGGACCCAAAGGAGATTTCAGTCCATCCATAGCATCAAATCCGCATCGTTTCTCGGGGTTTCTTTTGGTGTGTCGAAACCACTGTGCATCCTCAGACTAGTCAAATTGGAGATTGCCACGTGTCCCACATAATATTGCTCTCACCTCCCTCAGAGCATGGCGTCCCTCCGCTATCCCGCCGCGTTCACACCTTTCATCGTGCGAAAGTGGTTTTGCACGCTCGACATGGGGGTCACGATAACCGCACATCCGTCGAGAGTCCTTGCATCCGGACCGTTAAATATTTAACGAATCCTGTCCGCATATCTTTGCCCATCCGACGGCGTATAACGCGCTACTAGAACCTTCTCGCCGAGGGCTAAACCCTTGCTTTTTAGGCGCCCCGGAGGAGCGTGCTGAGCACTCGCCGTCTCTTCTGCCTCTCGCCGTCGTTGCCGTTCTCGCATTTGCGGTTTCGAGATGGGGAAGTCGTACCCTGTGGTGAGCGATGAGTACTTGAAGGCGGTGGAGAAGGCGAAGAGGAAGCTTCGCGGTTTCATCGCCGAGAAGAATTGCGCCCCCTTGATGCTCCGCCTAGCGTACGGGATCACTTACGCCTTCATGCTGCTTTGTGTTACGTATTTTTTGCGGCGATCTGGTAATGGACGGCGCCGATCTGGGGTTGGGGTTTCAGGTGGCACTCGGCGGGAACGTACGACGTGGTGTCGAAGACCGGTGGGCCGTTCGGGACGATTCGGAACCAGGCGGAGCTCGCCCACGGCGCCAACAACGGGCTCGACATCGCCGTCAGGCTCTTGGAGCCCATCAAGGCGCAGTTCCCTATCTTGACCTACGCTGACTTCTACCAGGTCCGTCGTCTCCTGATCTAACGCCATTATATTTTGCAGTCCTTTTCTCATTCCTAGCATGATACACATTTTCTATCAAATGGCAGCTTGCGGGAGTCGTGGCCGTGGAAATTACCGGAGGACCCGAGATCCCTTTCCATCCCGGAAGGGAGGTATATAGACTCGCTCTTGATCTCTCTGTGTGATCTAAAAAGCATTTGAATTATATCAATGGTTCGCATATGTTTGGATCTGTGATGAGGATAGGTAGGGTGGCACATTTTGGCTTCTGATGTCCTTAATATAATTTTCTCGGTCTGCGGTTTACGCCTGTTTTTGGCGATGTTATTCGCTGATTAACAAACACGATTTTTTTAGAACGAAATATATATGTCCATTTTTCTAACTATTCTGATTTAGGTTAAAGCCATCTGATTTTGCGAGATTGCTGCTTATTTATGTTAGCCATATTAACAAGAAATTGTGTTAATTATGGACTATGAAGTGCTTATTTTTTTGTTTATATGTTTCTGTGTCAGTTAAATGTGTTTTTTATTCACATGAGGTCAAGCGTTGTTATCTGCGCCACAACTAATGAAATCTTTCAATGGTTATGAGATTTCTTTATTTTACTATAGCTAATAGGACCGCTGCTAAAGCCATGAATAACCAATACAAGCGAAATGAACAATATTTGTACCTTTATGATCTGTCTCTGCTTTTTTAACTTTTATTTAATTATGGATTATGAAGCGCTCATTTTGTTTATAAGTTCATGTGTCAATTAAATCTGGTTTTATAGTCACATGAGGTCTAGCTTGTTTCATGTCAACCTGTTTGATCATATTGGTATTGTTACCCAGTATATTTTCATCTCTTTGATGTAATCTATTGTCTTGGTTATTCATGGCTTTAGCAGTACTCCTATTAGCTATAGGAATCTATTTTTTCAATGTAAAGAGATCTTGTAAGCATTGGAAGTTTTCGTTAGTTGTGGAGCAGATAACAAAGAATGTCTTCATAATGTTGGAGCAATACTATGGATTATTTATTTCTTTCCTTACATGTTACACCATGTAATTTGTACTATATCTTCTAGTTGTCCAGAGATAAGTTCAATGAAAGTAAAATTATATGCATTGTTGGCTTGAAGAACCAAATTAGGTGTTGCTGCTCTATCTCATTGTCCATAATTCTTTTTGCTTCTGTACTTTCCTTTTGTATTCAGTTTAATTGTGGATGATTTTTTTTCTGTTTATTTATTTTATTTGATTCCTTTCGAAATCATTTTATTTAAGATTATAACACATTTGTAAAATGCCTATCAACGCTGAAAGCAAAACTAGACTATCTAATCTTGTGTTTGTGTTTACCTGTGTCACCTAGAACAGTAATTAGATATACGGTAGTGGTTTTTATTGAGATGTGTAATGTCATTTGATATTGATTTTTCTTGAATATTTGGTGGAATAAAGCTTATATTTCGAGGAAACAATCATGGATCTTTTAAATTTCAAGGTTGACATCTTTGTTCGACATATGTTGATTATTGTAGAAACTTTATTGACTTGACCATTCCCTTGTAAAATGAAATTTTGCCCCATATAACCATTTGTTGGGTAAGATTTTCAGCTTTCAACTTCTGTGCATGAATGGGATCACTGTGCATTGACATTGTTGTTTCTGTGTTTCTAGGACAAGCCTGAACCTCCTGTTGAAGGTCGTCTTCCTGATGCTACCAAGGGTATGGGTGTTTGCAAAGTTTTGCATGCTTAAAGATAAAAAAAGTCTATTTTTAAAATTTGAAGTTTCTGACATGTGGTTTGCAGATGCTAGTTGTATGTGTTTGTTTTCAGTGCCAATTATCTTAGTTGCTGACAATAACTGTTCTGCACTATTGACATGTCTACAAGACATCTTAGATGTTCACTCCAGCATTTGCGGGTTCAAATTCAGAAACCCTGACCTGATGTAATATAATTGCCACTCTCATTGGACTGGTTTGTTTGCTTAAAAAGGAAGCACTTGTGCTTGTGCACACAACTGCAAACTGTTATTGGATGACCTGAACTTACCTTGGGTTTATTTTTCAATTGCTGATATTCCTGATTCCTGAAATTGCCCATCGCTGTGTGTCGTTGTCAAGTGCGTTGTCAAGTTGTGGATTGAGTCATCTTTATTTTTCATTTGTTGATATTCCTAAAGTTGCTCTTGCCAAGTGCGTTGTCAGGTTTAGGAGTGAATCATCAGCTTAAGTCATAACAATTGCAGTTACGAGCTTTTTCAAAACCTATGTTGTTTCTGTCATAGGACAATCCTTATTGACTCAAGTTTTGTTTATAATCCTACAGGTTGTGATCACCTTAGGGATGTGTTTGGACATATGGGTCTCAGTGATCAGGACATTGTTGCACTGTCTGGTGGTCACACACTGGTAATTTTCTGGTGTGCTCTCACTTGTGATCTTTCTCATAAATTCTTTTATACTTAGTTCTTTCACCGCTCTATGTCCTTCACAGGGAAGGTGCCACAAGGAGCGGTCAGGCTTTGAAGGGGCTTGGACTCCCAACCCTCTTATTTTCGACAACTCATACTTCCAGTGAGTTCGTTCAAAATAATTAGTAGTTCGTTGCTGCTACTGTTATATTTCCCTACATTAAGTTGTCTGAAGCGTGTGCCTTGTAAATTTATGGGGAAATGACATTTTGCTTCTCTGGCAGGGAACTCGTGAGTGGAGAGAAAGAAGGCCTTCTCCAGCTGCCGTCTGACAAGGCCCTCCTGACTGATCCTGTGTTCCGCCCGTTTGTCGAAAAATATGCTGCTGTACGTACTCTCGTTCTTAATGTCTGTATAACTCAATATTTAATCATGACTTTGCCATAGGTGGTTTAAATTTTTTAACCTGGAATTTCCGCCTCAGGATGAGGAGGCATTCTTTGCCGACTATGCTGAAGCTCACCAGAAGCTGTCGGAACTTGGGTATGCATTGAAGTTTCTAGAAGTGAACTGGCAATTTGATGAAACTACTTAAACTGATGTGTGTTTTTCAATCACTTTTCAGATTCGCTGAGGCTTGAAGAATGGAGTTGTGGATCTAGCAAGACAAGGTTTTGAGGTGCTATCTTCTCTCTAGAATCATCAGAAACATTTAGAAATAAAATTCTATGGTTGTATGCCGTTTCCTGTCGTAGTCGATGTTTGTTTAATATCAGACTTTGTTTTGTGACATGTTTCAATCTCTATCAGCACCAACAACAAGTCCTTCCCATTGTGATCTTCATTTCTCGTACAGCTGATTTTGTTTTTTATACAATAAGTGACGAATCTGAGATTAAAATTGAAAACTTTACGATAAACTATAAATATTTATTTGTTAAACAAGTTAGCTGTCACCATGAGACTGTCGACACTTTGCTTTAGCATGACGTCCGTAGCATCTTCACTAATGCTGTGGGTTCCAGTCTTCCATCGATAGCTTGGCACGGAAAATTAATTATCCCGCTCTCTCGAGTACCTCGGAAGCATCCAACCCACCTTCTGTTTTATAATCCAGACCTCAAGCATAACATGTAGCATTTTAAAGTATCTGTACTGCTATCGTATATGAAATGATGTGAACAGAGTAGTAACACATTTTAGTATACTATTTCAACTCGCGAACCATGTTTGCCAACACACGAGAACTCTTTATTTCAAGGAAAAGTGATCCTGGAACACCATCTATCCTTATACATTCATCATGCCCATATAATTACTTCTCCATCTACGTTGCATCCAAAATTGTGGCACTATGACTACCCTACCAACACATATAAGGCGTAAATTATTCCTGGTATGTAGCCCAGTATCGTCAGCAGCAGGTCAATCCAAAACTCCACCTGCAGTTCACCGTATAAGATGATCACAACCTCCTTACTAGAGAGAGAGAGAGAGGTGGATTCAAGTGCTTACACCGATGCCATAACGGAGGAAGACACCCACAGGTGGTAACAAAATGGCCAAAATCACTTCCAGGAACGTCGCTGACCCCATTCCTCTCTCCCTCTCTCTCTCTAAAGTATCTGAAACCCGTATAGCTTCACGGTGGCCTTGTGATGGTTGGATGATGAAGGCACGAGACCGTGAAGGTGGGATGCACTGGAACAGAGAAGAGTGACTGACAGGGTAGTGGACGTGGTTCCCACCCAAGCTTGCTCATGGAAGGCTGATGGTGTACGTGGCGAGCCGTAACGTTCTGCTGCAGCCGCGTGTTGTGCTGCGAGCCACGTACCGGACCTTTCATAATTTCCAAAGGTATTAAATTGTGGTAAAAGTGATATATTTAGCTGCATAAATCATCTCATTTCTAATTCCTTCAATATGTTATTTCCTCTTCAATAAATTGATATAATTTCGTGATTTACACCAATTGATAGGACGTAAAAAATCAATAGATTGCTGATAAAGTGAGTGCTCATACTTGTCTTGTCACAACATTGTGCAGGGCCAAGCTGATGTTGTTGGCTTTTGGGTGGTCCGCATCGGGCTAGTGAAGCAAATTGAAGGTTGAATGCACTTAAATATTAATCAATCCGTAAAATTTTGATTGATGATCAAACAGAAGAGTGAATACACCTAATAAATGGAAGACTTTTTAGTGTTCGGATGAGTATGCACTGTTTCTGGAGGAGGAGGAGGGGAAGAGAAAGAGGGAATCACACATCTTCGACTACAACTTATAGTTCCCATCTTATAAACACATGCACTGTGCCTGCAACACTCACTTTAGGATCTAGGAGGGATCAAACATGTGCAACTCTTAATGTGAAGGACATGGTTATTGCTAGTTACTACAAACTTAGGCTTTTGGTAATTTAGGATGTTGAATCCCATGTCAGTTTAGGAGTAGGTGAAGGACGTCAGGGAGTCTCCGGATCAAGACAATTCCTCGTAGGCCCAATGAGGATGAATGGTGCTTCCAATGATGAGGCCGAAGACATCTCGACTCTCCTACTAAGAAACATTAATGGGGAATGGACGATTTACTATACTTTTCATGAAGTTGTTCTTGAAACAGTTTTTTTGCATCAAAAAGCTTGATGATATTTTCTCAGTTGCAGATTCAGCATCAGGCAGGTTTTAGTGGAGAACACTTTCACCAGGAAAAGAAACAAAAGAGACTTTCCTCCATGCCATGTGATTCACGGAAGCTGTAGGATCTTTTGCATCCTCCATCAAATTAGAGTAATCAGGATCATAAGTGCTTCCAATCTTGGTACAGTGAAGTGTTTGAGATATTACTTGAATGATGGTTCTTTGGACCTGAAGCACAAGTCTTCTAATTAGGAAGGAGGAAGCAAACATGGTTCTGGGTGCTTGTACGCCACCAAGTGAGAAAGCAAGGATGGAGTGTGGGAGCTGAGTGGAGACTGGGCCATCTTGGATCACCTGAAAGCTCTTTCCAGAGTGAGAACGAGACCTGCCATATGTTCCACAGCTCACGACTGCTCCATAAAGTGAGATGAGTATCAAATGCTGAAGGGCCCCATGAAGCTTGGGAGAGACACTGCCATGAGAAGCGCTCTCATACACACCAAGGTATCCCCATCGTTTCATACGCACATCTTCTGCTAACACTTCACATCTACTGATCATTATGGTTGTTCACACAACATCTGGTTCCAGATGAAGTCAGAGGTGGGCACACATCATGTGTACCGTAATATGGATGCAGATGAATCATGACCTGCGACCTTTAACATATGTGTTTCCTGCATTCCAGCTTGTGGGTCGTGGTCCTCTCCTATCTTGTTTCTCCATTTCACCGTGGGGAGTGTTCTATCTAATTAAGCTAGCTTAGAAGCACATGCATCCACTTAAACTCTTCTAATACAATTATTATTTTATGGATTGGACTAGAAATAATGTTAAAGACCTTCTTTGGAACTCAGTGCTTGTCACCTATTAGAAGATAGTCTTCTCTGCCCACCTCCTCCACTAGGCTACCAGAATTTGTTCTCTCTCACTCTCATGAAACCCCAAGTCATAGGTTCACAAAAGAAAAAAGAGGAAAGTTGGCAGACTTGAGTCTTAAGTCTGAGGTACTCTTCAAGTTTTTTCTATCCATACATTGAATTTATGAGCAATGGGCCCGCTTGGAGTCAAATCTACAGGGAGAATATTATGTGTGTTACAGTTCACCTTCCCTACTCTTCTAGGATTCATATTGTTATCCAAGGAGGAATTGCTAACCGATGGCAACCTTATTAGGACCCACTTTAGGTGTATGTGGTTGCTCTAAGATAAGATAATGCAGCTTTGGCTTGGTGTGATCTTTAGTCAAGCTCAAGACTTTTGGCTCTTCATTTAGGCTTACTTACTTTGCTGACTGCGGCCACTTAGGATTTCTACAACTAATCGAGGGATAACAACAGCATGCATGACGACCTCTTCTGCACATGAGCTTATCTGTGTTTGACAAAACACACAAGCTTGGATGGCCTACAGAATCCAGTAGTGCTCTCTGTAAACATGGTGTCAGTGTTGATTGATTAATGTATGGTTAGATTGCTGCAATAATAGCTAATCATTGCTGTGGTCAGTCGATCGAGAGCTGACATGGTGTGAATCTGACCTGTGCACATGATGGTTGCATTCTTATTAGGGTTGGCAGCTGAACTAACCCTTAAGAATGTGGATATTGTTTTGTGGCTTTTCTTGATGGATTCCGCTTCCACCCAACTGCAGCTCGATCACCTTTGAACTTCCATCTAAAGTCATAGGAAAAGGACTCTTCCGAGTTTGTAAACCTCAAGTTGTTGTCGTGATGAGGAGATCATAATCGTTTGAAGTTGACATGTGTAACATGGCATAGCGAAGTCATTCTCAAGCTCGAGTTCCTCGTTGGCAATGTTAAGGAAGAAAGTAATAATCAATCACGATCATAAGTTGTACGAAAACAAATCAGTTCACGTCTCTCGACTTGGTCGATATGCTGATGGTTTATTGATCGGCAGTATACATAGGTCTTGGAACCATTATTTGCTTCTGCGATTAATCCAAGCTTGGCTCATATCCAGAGAGGCTCATCCCAAACCGAGCCGTGGCTGATCTCGTCAAGGAAGTACGCATCGTTCTGATACATGTTGGGGCTGTCAGCGAGGGCATTGGTGGATTGGGGTGTTGTGCGGTAGCCCTGCTGTGTCTGAGCCATCTCCATGCAGATCATCGCGATCAGGTTCTTCTGCTGGGCTTGCAGGTTGATGAGCTCGGCGTGCGCCCGTGCCAGTTGTGCTTGCAGCTCGCTCACCTGTTTCTGAAGCTGGAATATGGCACCGGCGCAGCCGTACACGGGATCCCTGATCCGTGCGTTGGCCTCGTACACCATGCTGCTCACGGCATCGGCCCTCTGGCTCGCCGGAAGTTCCTGAGACCATCGAGTTCGATCGTTAGTAGGAAAGCGGTTGCAATTGCAGTAGAACACGTAGAGGTAGAATGAAGCTTCGGTGTGATCATTCGATGCGGAGCGCTCACCTGCAACAGCTTGATGATGTTGCTGGCACCGAACACGCGATGCGCGGTGGTGAACTTAAGTGGCTCCGTCGGGGGGAAGTAAGGAGCGAGGACGCACTTGTCGGCGCATCGCCGGCGGAGGATCTTGCAGGCGGCACAGGGGCTGTGAATCGCCGCAGGAGGAGACGAGACGGGAGAAGATGTAGGGGAGGAAGAGAGGTGATGGAAGCCGGTGGTGGTGTCACTCGAATCCATGAGAGTGGAAGAGGGAGGAGGAGATGGTGGCTTGTTCTCATCATGGAGAGGAAATATATAGCGAGCAGGAGATTATGACGCTATGGCTCCACAAATTTGAGGTCAGCAGATTAAAGCCTCTTATTTTGACTAGCCAACGTATAAAAAGGCACAAAAGTAGTCAGATCATGCCATTTAACGTCGTGAACAACTGGAACTATAAACAAGTAGTAGGTTAGTCATTACTGCACAATATATAGGCAGGCAGTCATACTCGGTGTGTGTCTTCCTGGACATCGACGGGCTATTGATTGGCCTATAGCCACTATTTCTGGCACCGCTCAACATGATAGAAATCTTCCTCATGTTGTGTGCTTCATGGAATCAATTAAGCTGCCTAAAAGGGAGGATGAACGTTTTGTGGTTGTCACAATCATCGGTATGAGAACTTTGTGCACATGGACTCACCCCCATCCACAGCCAGGTTTTATCACCTCAGTGGTACATGTATCACCAGGAAATGAAGGAGAGAGAGAGAGAGGGAGAGAGAGAATCTGAATGGAAGATGCTTCATTTTAGGAGGATTTCTCCATCTTAACACAGACTTGTCAAGCTCTTTGTCCTAAATCCTAGCAGGTTATGGCATAGAACATTCTATTTCCTGATGAAGGGGTGTGTTCTGCGTTTCTTCAGCTGTAGGGCCTATGAGATGAAATCCATGCGTCGTGAAAGACTATGCAGCGGTGCTGCCATCCATCAACAAGAAGGTGGCTTTCGTTATCTATTCAGGAAGCTAAACATCATCGTTACGGTGCTGAAAACGTTGTCCCTCATAAGACTTCTGACTTGCTGCTTCCAAGAACTGGAATGGGTCGTATCACCTGCCACACGTTTCCAGCCGTGTGTGGGGTGGGAGTCCCGAAGCTGGGTGTTGGATGGGGAGATGTGCTGCATGCACGTTGAACCCATGAAAGCAACCTTCCACGGCTGCCACTCCAGAGCTCAACACCGGGTTAAGCGTTGAAGCTCTGTGAACCATATCTTGGTTGACTTTGATATCATATTTATTGAATTTTTCTTAAAATTTAAGAAAGAAAAAAAAAGGAGATTAGGAGTAATTCTAATCTACGGTACTTTCGATTGATCCAAAAATATATATTTATATTGATCAAAATAAAGTATAAATTTTTTAAAATAATAAAAAAATTTATCATATCCTAATAAATCTTTTACCATCATCTAATTATTTAAATCTAAATTTCTATCTTTTATTTTATCTAATCTTAATTATTTAAATTAATTTTAACATACTCTCTTAATTCAAATAATTGTCACTTAAGTTGTTTTCTGAATAAATTCACCATAGCTTTTATGAAGATATCAACAAGTTAATCTTTGGCACTACGGTCATAATTTTTATATCATTAACCTTCTTCGTAGTCTTCAATGGTTACTTATTTTCGCTTTTCTCACTTTACTCCCAAGACTCATTATAATCACTATTGCCTTTTATGCTTGAAACTTCTTATTGCCCTTTTAAACTATTGGTACTCTCCTTTTTTTTATAACACTTATAATAGTTTTACTAGCGTTAGATCAAATAGAATTCCAAACTTTTCGCCTCTTGAATAGTGCCTCCTCATCACTCTCATTAACTTTAGTCTTGAGACATCTTTTTATAAGTTAGAATTTTGAAAGGTTCATCATGTGAGATTGTTTATATAAACTCATAAAAATTAAGATAATTATAACTTTTATGTCATAATGTCGATTCATTAATAACAGTAGCATGAAAGGAGAAAATCAAAAATAATAAGAGAAATATTTTATTTTTTGTCATCCTCATACTTATTATAAAAAATTTAATTTTCTTATCATAAATCAATCATTTTTCATCATAAAAAATAGGATAATATACTTTTCTTATCGATAAATTTTTTAGTAGATTTGGTGTTCACAGCAACTATTTCTTTTTCTTCCACTTAAATCTTATTATCATTTCCTATTTTATACTATAGATATGATTGAATCATTAAGTCTTTAGAATAAATTTTTATTTGTTGTCATATAATTATTATATTCACTATCCAAAAACCAAATAGAACTAGAATATTCTTTTATCAGATGCTATAAAGAAAATATTTTTTATTTTTTTAATAATTATTTTTCTCATGATAATTTTTTTGATCTTTGTTCCAACAATCTTTTTCAAGATAATCATATTTTTTACAATAAGAGCAGAAAGAAACATTTAGATTTTTATTTTTGTACCAACAATCCTTTTCAATATGTCTATTTTTTTGTAACAAAAATATCGACAGGTTTCTTTGTTATCTTTATTTGAGTTGCTCTGATCCTTATTAGATCAATCACAACCTCTATTATTTTGATCTCTCCCTTGAGATTTAGCTTTTAAAATTTTCTTTTAGTTCTTCTACTACTTATCTATATTCGTTTGAAGAGTATATTCAGAAGTTTCTTTTGAAGATCTATTTACTTTTTATTCATAAACTAAAAGAGAACTCATTAATTCATTAATAGATAATGTATTTATATCTTTGACTTCTTCTATAGCACTAGAAATTATATCAAATTTTGGAGATAAACTTCATAAAAATTTTTCTACTATATTTTGATCTTTTAGATTTTCACCATAAGATCTTATTTGATTCACAATAGAAGATACTTTTGAGAACAAATCAACAATGGGTTCAGAATATTTAATCATAAGAGTTTCGAATTTAAATCAAAGAATTTATAGCTTTGAAATTTTTTATCATGTCTATGCCTCCAAACATAATTTTTAATATTTTCTAAGCTTATGTCGATGTTGATGCCATCATAATTAGGGGAAATAAGGAATCAATTATTGTTTGCTATAGGATATAGAGAGCTCTTACATCTTTCTATATATTCTCATTCATCTGATTTTTTTGATCTTTAGTAATATTAGAATCTTGTAGATCATACTTAACAAAACATCTTCTATCAAGTTCTACAATCCTTATGAGATAAACAAAGTTTTCATCTGAACAGTCCAAATTTGATAATTATCGCCATTGAAGATAAGAAGAAATTGAATAGAAACACTTACTCTAGTCATATTCTCTTTTCTTTTTCTGAATCTACTAGTCTTTTCTTTGTTTTTAATCGATGTACTCCTTTTGTCGATTAAAACGATGTTCGTACGATGAAATTATTTTCGATGAAAACCATTTCGAAAAATTCTTCAACTTAAGAGTAAACGGAAGTATAGTTGATGTAAAGCAACGAAGGCAGTTTGCAGTTAAGATAAGGAGCAGAATGTAAATACAAACCGAGATTTAGAGTGGTTCGATCAATCTTGACCTACATCCGCTTTTGGCTTCCTCCTCCGATGAGGTCACCGACGTCCACTAGAGGCCTTCCTTCAATGGGCGAAGGCCAACTACCCTTTTACATCTTTACTCCTTTTGACGGTCTTAGAAGACAACACTTACATATTTCCACTCCTCTCTTGAATGATCAAAACTTAGAAGAAAAGAGGGAGAAGAACTTCTAGCCTTTTACAACACTTTTAAGCTCTCAAATTCTCAGAATAAATGCAAGCTTTTAGTGCCCTTTCATACAGGAAAGGGTGGGGTTTATATAGGCCCCCAACTGGTTTGAATTTGGAGCTCAAAAGTGTCATCTCCCGGATTTCCGGGGTCTTGGCGGTACCATCGCCAGAACTGGGCGATACCACCGCCAGAACTGGGCGATACTATCGCTTGACACTGCTCGGAGACCGAGCTCAAGCGGTACCATCGCCTGACTTCGCTCGGAGACTAAGCTTATGGGTGGTGCCACCGCCAGCCAGGAAATCCAAGTCCGAATGGGCCGATCCATTCGACCCAATTTGGGTCTATCAAGGGCCCAATTGGTCCTAGATTAAGTTAATGGGATCACCTCCCATTCCTAACTTAATCTTCATGCTAACTATGACATTTAAGACATTAATACTGCAACTCGTGTTCCGATGCATCAATCGTTTCTTCCGGCGAACTTCCGACGAACATCCGACGAACCCTCAGCGATGCTCCAGCGGACTTCCAGCAAACTCCTGGACTTGTGACGATCCTCTTGGCAAGTTTCGACGAGCTTCTTTGGCAAGCTCCTGGACTTCTCGGATTTGTTCCCGCAGAACCTCCGATGACCGTCCGAACTTTTGTCGAACTCTCGAACTCCCAACGTGATCTTGATTTTGACTCCGGCGTAACACCTGCTGCATGTCTTACTGCTATCGTAGTTAATCCTGCATATATAAAACAAACTTCGATCTAAACAATTAATACTAAGCATTAATCAAGTTGTCCGGCATGTCATTGGCCCCTCAACACTAAGTTCGATTCTTCGGTGCATCGTCCTCTCCTACGGCCTATTGCCCAATCGGCTAGTTGACTCCGCAACTTCGATATCCTTGGTGCAATACCCGCTCTTTTTGGCCCGAAGCCTTCTGTCGATACGTCGACCGATCCACCGGCCCGACGTCTAATTTTCTGACATATTCCTCCGGCCCAACATGATTTTTCCTGCTTTAATTTTCTCATCCTGATCGAAGCATCCTACGTCACTTAAAACATAAATTAAAATATAAATATAATTATCAATTGATTTTATCATCAAAATATAAGATTCAACATATACTAGGAGTATTTCCAACATGTAGTGTTTTGGATTAATCCGAAACACCTTTTTATATGATAAAAAAATAAAGTATATTTTTTTAAATAATAAAAAATATATCATATCTCAATAAATCTTTTACACTAATATATTTATTTAAATATATATATATATATATTATTTTTTATTTTATAAAATTTTAATTATGTGAATTAATCTTAACATTCTTGTAAGTCTCACATGTCCTACACCGCGAGAGAGAGAGAGAGAGAGAGAGAGAGAGAGAGGCGGTTTGTTATCTTTGCTAACCTTAGCATGAGCAGATTAGATTATGTCCACTTAAAAAGCAACTTGAATCCAATGACGAACAATGATTTGAAATGCTTGTACTGCGACCTGCTTTTGCATCAAACGTACCGATCAAGA